GAAGCAGGCGAGTATAAAGGATTTTGGGAAGTGATTTTCTTGGGCCTGGATTAGAAATTGTTCCTGAAATTAGAGAGAGAATTTAAAACAAGAACTGTTCACAAATACACCTCAAGTACATAAAATCCTACCTGGAAATATGAACTTTCTGGGCTTCACAGAAAGTAAGAAATTTAAGTGAAACTATCAAGTTCTTTCATAGTAATGGAAATCTATCATTGAAGCTAAGAAAAACAATGGATGTAGAGCTCTGGTTCTTACAATCTACTCCACTAAAACCCAAAACAACTCTAGCCAGAGACAGTTCTGCACTGAACTCGAGGCAGCAGTGCTGTGCCCCACATAAGCCAGAGCTGCATCCAGGAGCAGTGGCTCACCTACAGTTCCTCATGACTCTTGGGGCCTGCTTTTATTATTCTATTTAGCTTTTAGCTCGTTAATATTTCCTTTTCTGATCCTATTTTGCTGGGCTACAATGAACTTTTTTTATTGGAGTTTCTAAACAATAATAGGAGAACAAAAGTAGGACCATTACCAGGACAAATACTTCTCAGGCTCTTTTCTCCATTGTTAATTTACTAATAACCTCTAGTTTCAGCACTCTAAGGCAATAAAAAAGGGAGTAACTTCTGGCCAGCTCATCTCTTAAACCAGTCTGCTGATCCCAAGGTAATGGGTGTGAGTGCTCAGGTGTAGACAAGTGATTTGTCAAGGCTGCAGAACAAAAACAGCTTTGGGAACTGTTCCAATAACAAAGCTGTGTTTCACACCCAGTGATGAAGCTGCTTCAAAAGCCCTTTTCCCACTCCAGTTTGCAGCCTGTCCTGCAGCACTGTGGGTGCTTACACAGACACAATCACATGGAACTGTGCTTCCTCTAAACAACTTTCCTTTCTCAACCCAGCCCAGGGTGTGAGGGCTGCAGGCAGGTTCCCTGCTGGCCTCACTGACCCTCAGGACAGCACAAGGGCTGGGGCAAGACCGAGCACACCCAAACCCACACATTCCAACACACCTCACCCTTTGTTTTCCTGGAAATTCAGCCTCAGAATTGCTCAATGTCTCACTTACAATGGCCTCACAGCTGTACTTTCACACTGAACAAGGTTCTTTCATCACTGCTATTTACAGTAACATCCCTCACCTCTGCAGCTTTGGTTAGAGCCTGGTGCTGACAACACCAAGGACAGGGGTTTGACCCCTCTATGGCCATTCCCTTAAGGGCTGGACTCAGTGATGCTTGTGGGTGCCTTCCAACCCAGGATATTCTGTGACACTTTGATATAAACATCACAGTCTGGCTGGTCTTACTTCCCCTCCTCTGGAAACTCTAGGAAAACCAGTGGTCAGATTCAAGGCCAGGATTATCAGGCACATCTCTGCTCTGCCATTTCTCTTCATGCACTCTTAAAATTGCTTAAATGGAAAGAAGTATAAATACTTATTTACAGAAGCATAAATACTTATTTTCACTGAGTCATGAGAACCAAGATATTGGAATCTGTGGAGTCTCATCTGTTACTCCAGAGACCACACACATATTTCAAATTAATCTTCTTAACATTACTTCTATGATCAGGTGCCTCACCAGAAAAAAAGCTTTCCTAGCAACTTTAACCCAAAATGAACCATTTCTACAAATAATTAGAAGTTGCACTGTGGTCCTTGCTTCTGTTCAGCCATTCATTTCAAGTTGTGGTCCTGTTCTATTTAACAATACTCAATGTCAGATTTATTATGACATTTATACAATTCACTTTTCTGTGTTTTTCCCCAGGCAGCCCACTGCAGCTGAGGGACTTTCACAAGATATGACTAAACCTGCCTATGCAGGGCAGAACTAACAGGATAATGATTCTAAATGATTCTGGACACACTTCCCTAAATCCCTGTCAGAGAGGTGGAGCAGTGTTACATCAGAGGTCACACACAGAGAGTTTTCAGGCTGCTCTGACAGCAATGAACCATTAGCTGAACTAAGCTGTTGTATCTATTCATTATGTTAGATTACAGACTAACAAAGATAGTACTATTAAAGCAAATATGTCAATGCTGTTGGAGTTTTTCAAGTCTGACTACCATTAAAGCATTTCAACTTTTGATAGGTTTTATGCCAGCTCCGGATTAAAAACAGACATCTATTACAATCCCACTCGATAAAGACAAAACATCATTATTATTTACCTTGCATACTGACGTACACAAGAGCACATAACGCACATATTATGGAAGCCAGGAGAATGATGAGGCCGAGCAGGTAGCTGTGCAGCAATCCTCCCCCGGGACAGTTAAACTGCCCCTTGTGAACAGTGTAAAGGACAAAAATCCCAATCCACCTGCGGGCAGGGAGATAACAACAGTTACAGCACGAAGGGAGAAGCTGCGAAGCGATCGCTGATCGATAGTGGTCGCCTCAATGAAAGCACTGCACAGAGATAAACAGCAAGGGACCTGTTACATAAGGGAAGTGCCGGGATGAAAGCACCACGCGAGTACTCAGCAGGAATTACAATTCCGCCGAGAGCACACGGAGCCACAGGCTCCAGCCCGGTGCTACCGCTGCCCCCCTCGGCTCCCGCAGCGGCGCGGACACAAAGCAGCCACCGCGTTCATTACGAAACACCCGAGCGCTACTCGCGGATTAAACCCGGCGGGGGAGGGCGGCCCGGAGCGCAGCGGCAGCGCGGGCACCGCACCGAGCACTGTGCACCGACCCCGAGCTGTACCAGGCACCCACAGCGCCCGGGCCGGGGCACCGCACTGTGCAGTGTGCACCGACCCCGAGCTGTACCAGGCACCCACAGCGCCCGGGCCGGGGCACCGCACTGTGCACCGACCCCGAGCTGTGCCAGGGACCCACAGCGCCCGGGCCGGGGCACCGCACTGTGCAGTGTGCACCGACCCCGAGCTGTGCCAGGGACCCACAGAGCCCGGGCCGCGAGCACTGCACCGTACACCGACCCCGAGCTGTGCCAGGCACCCACAGCGCCCGGGCCGGGGCACCGCATCGTGCACCGACCCCGAGCTGTGCCAGGGACCGGCAGAGCCCGGGCCGGGGCACCGCACCGTGCACTGTGCACCGACCCCGAGCTGTGCCAGGCACCCACAGCGCCCGGGCCGGGGCTCCGCACTGTGCACCGACCTCGAGCTGCGCCAGGGACCCACAGAGCCCGGGCCGCGGGCACCGCTCCTCCCGCCGGTGAGCGGCCGGGCCGGCGGGCAGCGGCCCCGGGGCGCGCCTTACCACACTAGCCGGACGAACAGCTCGAAGGCCCCCGGGAGCACGAAGTCGTCGCTGCCGATGGCCCAGCGGCGGCCGAACAGCACGAGCCCCGGCATCCTGCGGGTCCCGCCGCCGCCGCTCCCTCAGGGCCCGGTCCCTCACGCCCCCCCCACCTCAGGCCTCACCGCCCGCCGGGGCAGGCACGACCTCGCGGGCGGTGACGTCACGCGCGCCCACTCCGCCCTGCGGACATCGCCCCGCCCCGATCGGGCGGTGCCGCGCACGCGCCTGGCGGGAGCCCCGCCCCGTCCCGGAGCGCGCGCGCGCGGTGGGGGGTAGGGCGGTGGCGCCCAGGGCGCGTGCGCAGTGCGGCCCCAGTGGGCGGGGCATGCCCGAGCAGTCACGTCACTGTACCGTGACGTAACACACCCGGAACAAGGCTCCAATAGGGCCGCTGAATGACGTCACAGCCCGAGGCGCGGCAGGAACAGCGCTCAGCTGGGCCCAGCAATGAGAGGCAGCGCTCACTGTGCAGAGAACGATGGCAAATTAACCTGCAGATAAAACCAAACACCTACAAGCACCAAACCCTCCTCTGCACCAGGCTGAAGACTTGAGCTCTTACTAAACAAGTCAGAACTCAGCCTTCACTGCTTGCATCAGTGATAATGCCCCTCAGAGCCTTAAAAACTTCTTATTTCAGTACAGCAATGATATTAGACAGCTTATCCTCACCACAACTTTTCATCCAGTCCCAGGCAAACAGAAAACTTTCACATTCAAGAACGAAAAAAATGAAAAAAACCCAAAATGTTTTCACCATTTCATAAAGTGTTTATTGAGGATGGTAACACAGGATAAATCATGCAACAGCTCAGTAAAAAAAGGGAATCATTTAAAGGATGAAGAATGGTAACTGGTGCTGCTGATTCTGAAAAGTTTATAAAAAAAATATTAATTGTCCAAAAGTGACATCGAAAACCACTTGAAGCTGAACATGGAAGTTGCTTATAAAGCATTCATTAATAAGAAAATGTAGATATTGTTTAAAATGATCACCCACAGATTTCTGTAATCAACAACTTACACGTCTCCCTTTCCCACAGCTGTAATGGTGGAGCAGGGCTGGACATCCAAGATATTTAACCTTCTCTTCCTGAACAAACAGTCACAAACACTTCCCATTAATTAACACAATCTCATCTCTTACCCCTCACAACCTGGGCTGCCAAGTGCTTTCATTTTTAGGATTACCTTCCCAGACATCATGGCAGAACAGAAAGCGCCCATCCTTGTGGCCTCAAGTGATTTCCTCATTGCCCTCTTGCCATCAGTCTGTTTTAGAAGGGGAACAACTTCAAAATGTGACTGTTCCCCTTCTAGCACCAGCATTTATTTTTGAATAAGGAACTCCATGTCAGCAGATGGCACAAAGACTGGGCACCAGCACATCACATCAAACATCGGTGGCTTCAGATTTAGAGTTGACATATATTCGCCTTTTGGAAAAAAAATAAATATAGTGGAATGAAAACTGAATCAAAGGGAAAGAACAGATGACTACCATCCATCAAGGATGCACATATTTGTGCACTGAAAAAAACAAAAGAAAAAAAATCAGTCATTTCAAAGAAAATCTTGAAAATTAAAAAAAATGTTTGCACTTGTTCCTGGTCATAAACAATCTCACAAAAATCTCACTTTTGGAACTATTCCAATTGAAACCATACACTGAATTTATTAATACAGTATAAGTTTCTTTATGTAAAAAATCTTTATACATAGTAATAAAAAAGATAAAGGCAAGATGCATCAAACAGAAATCTGCTGGTTGTTTTTCCTCCGTTCTTACAGAGCCGCTGATGACTACCTGCACTATAAAGAGCTGTGTTTCTGACTTTCTGTCTCAAGCATCTTCACCTTTGCTTGTGATAAGGATTGTTCTGTCCAAGCATCCAACAGGACAGATGCTGGTGATGTTTTGGCACTTACGCTGGCAAACTGAGCTTCTTTCCCTTGAGAACTGCAAGGAGGAGTGGGAAAGAAAACAGTCAGCAAAACAAAGTTGTGATGCAGGAGAAGCATCTCTAAAATGCTAAAATGTCACAGGGTCCAAAACCTTCCACTGCAGACAGCCCTCCTAGGCTGCCACTCTTCAATACACACTGGTAAAACTAGAATTAACAATTCTAACCTTGTCCTCTTGTGGCACCCTGGAGTTCCCCCTTTTCATCCTCAAAGGACATACTAGCTCCCCACCACAGCCTCTTAAGAATTATGACTAAAATAACACAGCTTTGTGGTTACATGATGGAAACTTCCAACTCTTGGTGGTATTTAAACCACTGAGAAAGGTGTCTGCAAGCACAGGACCTGTATGCAACAGTGTGCATGGTCAGGGGAAGCAGGAGGATCATGCTTATCCATGGGAGGCAATAGCAATATATTATTTAACCATACTTAAGTTTTTCCAAAAGTTCATCAGACCATTTATGTATTTATATTCTACCCATACCCCAAAAAATCCTCAGAAATGCCCCACACTAGCAGAAAGTGTACTCAATAAATTAAGGCTACTTCAGAACCAATTTGCACACAGAATTAACGAGCTTATAATGGTGACATAGCACACCCCTATGAACCTGTTAACTGTGCTACATCCCACAACCTGAAGCTGGAAGTTCTGTACTCCTTACCTTTTGTAACATACAAATAGAAGAAGTCACAGTACAGAACGGTCTGGACCACACCAGCAACAACAGCGATGAGGTCAAAAAATCCCTCAAAGTAGTAGCGCCAAATCCAGTTGACTAAGTACAAGGCACGGTACAGACCCAGGAAGAAAAGATAGTGAGTAGTGATGGTCTCTGCTTCCCCAGTTTTGCTGATCATAAAAAGTTGAGGGAGAATAGCAACCGATTCAAGATAGATGGAGAAGGTCCACAGTATCTGAAAGGAGAAAACCACAGGTAAATCACTGGTAACAGCAGGACAGAAAATATTTGACTTGGCTCGACTTTTCACTATCTAACAATGTTATGGATGAATGAATATCTATTCATACAGGTCCAGTATTTTGGATAATTTTCCCTGGTACAGGAAAAACTAAGTGAAAGCTTCATGATCAGCCAGAGGATGGGAGGAGGGAACTCTCCTGGCAGACAGCAGACTCTCCAATCCAAACCAGCTCTCTGCTGAGCTGCCACACACAGATTTACTTGTGAGGCAATTTGAACTGCAGCTTACAGATTCCATGCTGAGAAAGCTGCAGGGAAGATGAAGTCCCTTCCCCTGCTTAATGTTCTTCCATTTTTATCTATTTGTTTAAATAATGAGTTAACATAGAACAAAATTTAAAATATGTCTCAAAGTGTTGCAATTCAAATTCCCTTACTCTGTAATAAATTCATTTAACCCCAATATAAAAATGCAGCTCAGTCCATGTAAAACAAGCATTTAAAGTTACTCTCTATTTTGTAGGAAAAAATTACCTGCTTGAACTCTCTGTAATGACATTTAAAATATAATTTTTCTGCAATTAAACACATAGCTGCATTTTAAATATAATGCAGTTCTTTTTTATAGTCTAGATCATTTGCAATTCTATAGAATTTAAGTAGTAGTATAATTCCTTTTGTTTTCACCAGGTGGCACCAACTATTCACAAACTGTATTCCTGGGGATTTCTTTAACAAACAGAACAAAAGGAATTCTGAATTAATACAGTCATCAGAATGTACTGGGAAAAACAGTCTTCTGCTTAATAAAGTAATCTATGCTGATAAAATTGCTGCTCTCCTGAGGTGCCTTAAATTTAGATAAATGCAGATATCTGCACCACACAGATTCACTGAGGAAAGGATTAGCCTGAACCTACTAAACAGAGACAACCTACAACCATTCACTTGTCAGGCTAACAATGCTCATCCTCACATTCCAAATATCATCTCATGCCCACAATCAACTCACCTCCAGTGGAGAGAAGTCATGATTGACAAGGAAAGAGAGCCCACCAACAGGAACTATCAGGAACTCCACTCGGAAGGTGTCGTGGTTCCCATCATAGGTGGCCTTGAACTTCATGTAGATCAGGTACACGGTGGCGTACGAGCAAGCGATGTAGATAAGCTGAGGGCAAGGACAGAAACAACCCCAAAACAATCCACACAGGTTCCAGGATTAAATCACACTCCCTGAATAAGCACTAAGATGAGTAAGAGTGGTCTTTTTTGATTCTTTGCATTGTTTATGTGGTTTTGCAGGCTATTGGTGGTGTTTAACTTTTGTCAGCAGAGTAATAATTCAAAATGAGCCATTCTGGGCCCTACTGGTTTTGTTGCTTTAAAGGCATCACATGCCCATGGTTGAAGTGACTGCCCAAAGGTGAAGACCCTTTCCAGAATTAAGGAAGTGACTGGAGAAGGAATACATGTTCTGCAACTGCAGGGGAAGCACTGGCCCCAAACATTTAGGTTAAAATGTGCAGGTGCATATACACAATAACAACGGAAGGGGCCTTTCTACATTCAAAAAGCTCAGCATGGTGTGGCTCATGTGGCAGTACATAAATATTCAATAATTCCCATTGAGACAACCATTTAACATATCACAAGTTAGCTGATTTGCTTTGGACCTTTGAACATCTCTAAAATCTGAAGAGTGGCAACTGGACACTGTTCTTCACCAACCAAGAGGCCCCAAAACCTATGAGACTGAGAGCAGCAATGAACCAGAATCAATCTGAGCTGATGTCTAACCATTTTGAAGGGTTATGGCACAGCAGACTTTATATCTATTCCCTGTGGAATAAGCAAAAAGCTTCATTTTACAGGTGAGAATACAGAACTAGAGAGAATCTGAGACTTTCTAAAGGTCAATCTGCCATCATCAGGACAGAGCTCATTGTCCTGGAGTCAACACAGTCCAGCTGACTAGACAAATATTTTAGCTTCTGCCACTTTCAGCACAAAAATTAAATGTTCCTAACCATTTATTACATTAAAAAAGGGTTCTTTGCAACACAGAAGTAACAGATTAAAAATCCCACTGTTTGCAGATGCTATTAATCACTAAATGCTCTGCTCACAGACAAAATCCTACAAATACTGTATTAAGGAGCTCAGAATCCAAAGGCTCTGCTACATGAGCAGCCCAGCTGAGTGGAGATAAAGAACCACAGGACAGGATCCAGGGAACCTTCACTATGGGTGTAAACAAATCACAGCAGGTATGGTCACAGAAGACATTAAAAAGTGTGAATGAATCCAAATTTCTTACATTATAAACTTCATTTCAACAATCTCAACTCTTGACTTCTCAGCTGAACTTCTCTCAAGTTCTCAACTGTTCTCAACAACTGTGTAACATTATATCCTCCTACATATAAATAAATATAACACAAAATTGTGTTGGGACACTCAAGCAGCTTCATGTTGACACTACAATAATGGGCTGAAAAGAAAATTATATCCATCAGTTTCTAAGCAGTAACCTTTGAAACTGAAATAGAGGCTACCATTTTGAAAGTTAATATTTCCACATTCCTTCCTTTTCTGGTTAGGAGGGCTGCAGAACAAAGATGTGCTCATGGCCCTGAATCACAACCAATAAATAAATTAATGGCAAAAAACCCCTACCTTCTCCTTTAGTGCACCTATGGTAACTTCCAATCAGAAATTACACATGGAAAAAACTTCTGTTTCAATAATATTTTATTTAATCCACAGCTCTTCATCTATACTGTTAATATTAAAACTTAAGCATCCACATTTCACTTGTTGGAAAGCAAGTGTGAGTTTAGGAGACATTATTTTATTTTACAGTATTATTCCCCTAATTTATCCATCCATTTTGTGTTATTGATTATTTTAGTCTTTCCTCTTGGCAAAGTTATACTACCCTCTAAATTAAAGCTGAAAAGCATCAAGAAAATCCAAAAATAAAGGAGTTGGATTTAAAAAAAAAAAAACATACTGCTCTTTCCCAGATCACTGCTTTATCTTCTTGTACTCAGCACCAGAAATTGCAGGAATGAGCAAGTAAAAAACTCAAATTTAGGTTCACTGGCATTCAGTGGGCAAGTGACAGGGGTATAACTCACAGAAGCTACATTCCTTAAAGCTTACTCATGTCAACTTTTCATCAGCCTCTGACCAGACAGTAGCTGCAATTCTGGCAGTGCACTCTGAATACTAATTTACCTTGTAGTGAATAAAAGGAGATTTATTTGAGCTTTAATGTCTCAAATGAGAAATACAGTTTATTTAAACAGTTTTTCCAAAAGCTCGTACTTTCAATAACCAAAATGTCATTTGTTCTAAATGTCACAGTCCTGATATAAACAGTTTTTTAAAATTGCATGTAGAGTGCAGAAAAGAAGCAGGATTTTGAGTCCATCTTCCACATTCTTTATCCAAAGCCCATCGAGAGCTTTGGTGCAAGTGGGCCATTAAAAATGGCTTTTACTAATGGCATTATGCACTCTGCATGCAACCTCACTAGCTTTTCTAACTCTTCAGCATACTCTACCTTCATAGATGTGTTATACAATGAAATGAATGAAGTGAAGAGGTCCAGGTAACGGGTAGTGAAGACCAGTGCAAACAGAAGCTGGCTTTTCCCAGAAATACCTAAAGTGATAAAGGAAATAATTAATCATTCAGAAAGTGATGAGGTGCTTTGAAACATTTGATGACCAGGATGAGAAAGGATATATCCTTTATTTTTAAGCAAGTTGATCACAAAATTAGGACAAAATCCAAGTTGCCAAGCTGTACAAACAGAATTCTAAGCTCATGTAGCTCAGTAGTGTGAACAGAAGTTACCCTGTACTGGAAGAGGTGCTGGCACTACACAAGGTTTAGAAGTTACTCACAGCAGGTAGTGTCATCTCCAAAAATATCACCTGCAACCTATCTGTTCTGTATTATCACTGGGCAAGGCTGCATCAGCTTTCAGTTCTCAGAGTGCTGTCACATGCCTCAGCACAATCTTTAGATGCTGAATAGCTGGAAAGGTACAACGGCAATACAGAACAGACCCAGTGACAAGCAGAAGGTAAGATGGCACCAATAATGGGATTTTAGAGGAATACATAGATTTTAAAACATAAGGCAATTCAATTCACAGACTCAATTGGCCACATGGTGAGAAAAACATCAAACAATCAAACCCACATGTTATTAGGTACTAAAACAAAATTTTAAAAAGGAAGAGAAGTGAGATAAAATGTCAGACATCTACACTGCATCTTCAAAGCAACTTTCGATTCTAGGTCAAAGCCCCAATGTCAAACTTAACTTCAGGCACTAGAGCACAGTTAGAAGCATAAAAGCTTTGCACAGTCAGTCACTAAAAGCTTCTGAAAGCTGAGGTGCAGCATTGCTCCATAATACTGATGTGGTGGTGTGTCACAGCAGGGGGACAAAACAACCTACTCTGTGCCTCTGTCTTGTTATTCCAATTATTCTTGTTTTCAGTCATCCAGGGCGAAAATAATTGAATCTGTTCAGCTAAGCATGCAAGTCTTCTTCAGAAAACAAGAGGGAAAAACACTCTGTAGGAGAGGCTGAAAATCCTTGTCCTTTTATACAGAGATATTTGTAGAAAGGCTTTTATTAACAGCACCATAAAGCAATTAGGAGAAGGCAATCTGCTATGGCTATTGAAGTCCTTTCTCACTCCAGCTTAAGGAACAGGAAATAAACTGCTCCAGATGAAGGAATTTAACCTATGAAGTACAAGAATGGCTGAAACAATTAGAAAGGGGTTTACAGATTTCATATGTGAAATGTCTGCAAGGTGAGCCTGACTGGCCACCTACAGAACAGCCCAAGTACAGTGCAGGGAACATAAACCATCCCAAAACCTGCAGGCTGTAGAGCTGTAAAACACAAGCTGCAAGTATCACACACAAAACACACCAAAATAACTTCCCCCCAAAACAAAAACAAAAATAAAACCAACCCCCCCAAACAAACTACCTCAAAAAGTAAAGGAAAAAAATACATTTTACATTTCTTGAACTACAACCACATTGCACAGACAGCTGAAGCAGTGCTCTGGGCTCATCCCAGGTGTGCTTGTGGGCATCACAACTTGCCAATAAAACCTCCCAGCAAGCAAAGCTGTCCTAAGGTCAGAACCCACAGGACAAAGAAATCCACCTGGACAAATTACAGAACAGAATGATACTACACTATATAATTAGCCTAAATTATTTAGGATGCTATTTACTTTGAGCAAATAACTGGGAACAGAAAAAAAAAAAATAACAAAACCAAAAACCAACCAGCATATAAGAGACATTAATTATTGATAACAGCTATAAATTTGGATCTGGATATACTGTCATAAATACATATAATATACTTGACAAATTCTTATAAGCCATTGCCAATCTTACCTCCTCAACCCCAAAGCTGTAATTTTTATTGAGGCTTTCAATACTCTCACTGATTTTTGAATCTTTAGAATAGTTGTGAAATCCTGAAACCCACCCTAGAGCGAAGATTAAACTAATTTTCAAGTAAAGTAGGCTAGACTAGACTAGGCAAGGTTTAAATTGTAAACCAAAAGCCTATGAAGGGATGGGAGAAACATCAAGCCACAAACAAAAACAGGGTCAGGGGACAGGTAAACACAACAGCTGTACCACTTTGAGCATTTTAAGACTTTAGGAAATGTATCAATGTATGTGTCACAGCACTGACCCCGGCTCACCGCTGGCACCTGCAATGCACTGATGCTACAATGATGCTGTTCTCATCCTTCTCCCTTTCCTTTTCCTCCCACACACGTTACTTAGTTCCTGAACTAAATAAAAAATGGTTTTATTTCTTCTTCCAAAGCTTTGGGCTCAAATTTGGAAGAACCAAACCTCTCCATTTTGTTTCATGCTCACACATGGAAAAACTCCTTCAAGTTCTGCACTTCAGCTTGGCTGAAAGCCACAGCATGAAACTTTAATTCAGGTGATTTTCAGAGCCAGGCAGGAGGGCAGAGCTGAAATTGAAGTACTTTCTTATCAACTTCATTTTGCTGTGGTGAGTCAGGTAAGGAATAACAGGCAGGAGCAGAGGCACTGAGCTGGGCAGTGTGTACAGCACCTACCAACTATGAACTGCACATCACAGCCATAAAACCTACCAACAAAAATTCTTCTAAGGAAGGTCAGTCCATACTTTGCCACGGAAACTTCACAGACTCTTAAAAATAAAGTAGTTCAGCTCTCTACCAAGTCCACATCACCCACAGAAACACAACTCCTTTGGTTCTGCTAATAGGCACCAGCATTGACTCCTGTGCTTCCAATTTAAAAATCCAACCTAATTTTAAAGACAAATTTACTAACTGAGAAAGAGAATACTTACCTTCAAAGAGAGAGAGAAAAAAAAAATTCAAAGCTACCTAAAGCAGCAGTTTTTGTGAAAATACAGACAAATTAGCAGCAGCCTATGGCAAAGTACTGTCAGAAGTCTTCATCTTAGCATATTATCTGGTCCACAATAGACACATAAAATTGAGATACAGCTACATTACCTAGCAAAAGTACTACACATTTACTATCTGTATTACTTTTTTGGAGTATACAGCTTATAATTGGACAGCACTGCAACCGCAGGTCACCTTTAACACTTGATAAATGGCACAGAGAAAGGCAAATCAATTTTCAGGCAGTAATTTGCATGGCAAACAGCCTAATTTGACTTGAAATGCATAAGAAAATACAGTCTGAACAGGACAATGTTTGAAAGCACAGGATTCCTCAAGTCTCATGAATTTCCTAATTATGACATGATGTCGATAATGGAGTTACCTATTACATTCTCCATGGCTCTTCCTAATGATTTTTGAACTGTTATTTTGACTGGCAAACATTCTTCCAAATTCTAAATTTGGAAACCCAACCAGACATGCAAAAAATTTTTTCCCTGCCAGCTCTAAAATTCTCAAGTCGAGATTTGATTTGCTTTCCCCTTTTTAACTTTTCAACCTATTAAATAAATTAAAAAAAATAAGTTTCTCAAACACAGAAAAGACAGACTGGTTCAAAGTGCAGATGAGCCTAGCCTTACCTATCTTCTTCAATTAGAGGAGTCACTTCTTAAGAAAGAAAATGGGGACTATAAGTCTTCAAAAAGCAGCTGGTTGCAGCAGAGGTGCACAGGCTGTCTCCCTCATTTCCAGCTGCTTTTACAGGGCTCTCCTGGAACAAAGGGCTCAGACACACACAGATGCAACCAGAAGAGAGGAGTCGGCACCATGTGGTTTGCCAGCTCTCCATGGATCACAGCCTGCAGTTCAGCCAGCAGCCAGAAACCCTCCTTTATTTTCAAAGCCTGCTCCAAAAGTGCCTGGTTAAAGTAGCAGCTGGTTTGCCTGTGTTTCCTTAGTCATCAGTAACCACGAGGTATAAGTTTATTTAATTTATTAATGGTTCTAATAACCATACAATGTAAAGAAACGGCAGAAAGTCCTCTAATAAGTGGCTCTCTGTAGGTGCTTAACATTAATTGGTAACTACTTAGGGGTTATTGTCATGCATGACTTTACAAACATATGCAAATGCATATTTACATCAGTTTCATCAATAGAAACCTCAACTGACAACAATGAACCACTAGGAGGAACAGAATAGAGACCCAAAAATAAAATTCTTTGCTCGTGGTCCTTTGAGGTATTTATGTTCTTCTCATTCTAGACAAACTTGCTAGGCCTCAGACACCAATCTCACAGCAGCAACACAAACCTGGATTTACTCCTGAGGACTCAGGCAGAACTAGAAGACACCAAAGAAACAACCCTGACAAATACATTTCTGCTTTCTTTTTTTTTTTTTTCCTCAGGAAAATGAATTAAGCAAATATTTTTACTGAAAGAGCTCATGCATGTGTGCTTGTGTCCAGGGACACTGGCTAATTTGGGAAAGGGGAGAGCTGTATCCCCTATGTGATACAGGCCGGTTCACTTTTCTGTCCTGGTGAAAGCTGTACCAATGATTGGTGTGAGGCTGCTTTCTTATGAATAAACCCCTACTAGGAGAGATTCTCAATCAAAATTGGCTTAAGGAAAGCAACATCAGACCACTCTTTAAGCAGAAAGATGGGACCAGGCCACATCGTACTATACTGTGTAAATAACTTCACATACAAAGGTCACTCAAGAATCTCTTGGCTCAAACCCTATCTGAATTTCAGCCTTGCAATAGAATTTCACATTTTCTTTCTTCAGTCATTAAATGACATCCAGCTTTTAGATCATTAACCCTCCTGCTGTTCGTAATCTCAACTGCATTTCTCCAACACCGGACAAAGCTCTGCTCAAGAGCTGGAGGAGGCAAGGCCCTGTCCTGCCAGACCCAGGCAGGATTCCTGTGATGCACTAGAGCCTGAGCCAGGTAAGCTCAGCAGGAAGGTGCTCTTGTGCTCCGTGACCTCAGGAACAATAGTTCTGCAATATCGCTGCATGTGGGCCGTGGGGCCACCTGTTTGACCTCTTTTGTAAAGTTAAGAACAGTTTTTACTTTAAGTCTGTTTAAAGCCAAAGCTATTAGTTTACTTTTTAAAAAACAAAACTATTCATTTACTCTTTTTTTTTTGTGCTCCCAAGTGATTAGCTGGTGATTAGACATGACAACACACAGAACCTGTACTTCCTCCTACCTGTAGTAGTAAATCTCTTTCATTTCCCCATTCTCAGTTATTTCAGGTTACAACTTAAACTAATTCTTCATGCTTTTAACTGAAAACTTTACAGATACATCTGTTCAACAGTGCTAACTCGGTATTTGAATAGTGTCATCAAAACGTGGCAAAGTGATTTCAAGAACAATCGCCCTCACTAAAGAAGGAGAAGCTCACTGGAGAGAAGGCAAAGCCAAGCTCACCGTCAAACTCCCGTGCACAACAAAACCCATCCACGCAACACACACCGCAAGGAAATGCCCATTTTGAATGACAATAGCTCCCAGCTTTCTGAAAGAAATCAGCTACGCTGCAGTTATGGGAACTGCCTGCAATTCCCTGCAACCACCACACCGTACAGCGAAGGGGGAGAGCGAAGCACGGCCCAAGGAATTGGAGCACGCCCGTTGCGGACGGGGGGAAGCGGCAGCGGGGGGCGGCGGAGCGGGGCTCGCCCGGGTCCCGGCGCGGCTCCCGCTGCCACGTCACACACACAGCCCGCGGCTCCCGCCGGGAATCTCCTCCTGGCGCTTCCGACTGCGGGCCGACAGCGAGCCCGCCACCGGCCCCAACAGCGGCACCAAGCACGGCCCAATGCCTGCACAAAAGCCAAGGAGAGGGGGAGCGTGAGGCCGCCGCGGAGGGAAGGGGAGAGCGGGGAAACTTCAGAGGCTGCGAACCGCGAGTCAGCGGCGGCCGGCGCTGCACCAAACCGCGGACACCGGCGGCCCCGGGGCCGGGCGCGGCGAGGGCAAGCGAGGGAAGGGATGGAGGGGACGGAGGGATGAAGGCAGGGCGGCTGCTCCCCCCCGCCTGCCCTCCAAACCGGCCTCCCCATTCATTCGCCTGCCGCCGGGCAGTTACGTAAGGAAGGAGGGACCCTCCCTCCCCCTGCGCCGGTGCACAGGGATTAAAGTACAAATAATGGCAACCACAACACCTTCCAGGGAAATGCAGCTGCCGCCGGCGCACCCCCACCCCGGAGCGGGGATGCGCCTCCTCCTTCCCCCTCTCCCGGCCGCTCACCCGCTCCGCCAGCGCTGCATTTGGAGGGGGCCGAGTCGCGGGGAGGTCAGAAGGAGGGCAGAGACCCCTCCCCTGCGCGAACGGGAGCGATCGTCCCTTTTCACCTGCCCGGGCCGAGTTCTGCCCGCCCGCCCCGGGGCCCTCGGGGGCGCCCCAGCGGGGTCAATGCCCTCCCCGCCTTTCCCTGCTTCACCGGGGCCGCCTCCCGGGCCAGAGAGACAGGCGGGACCCCCCCGCCGCCCCGGCTCGCTGGGCTCTCCCCGGGGCGCGGCCCTTCGGAGACGATCGCAGCACCCCGCGGCGAGTTCGGGGCTACGCCGCCCGCCGCCGGCGGGGCTCCCGCGGGCTCTGCGGCCCGGAGCCACCCGGCCGATCCCGCCCCGCGGCCTCCGCACGCACCCGCGCAGGAGCGGCTCTTCCAGATCTTGAGCAGCAGGATGATGATGGCCGCCAGGTGGGACAGGTCCCCGGTGAGACGGAAGATGTTCATGGCGGCGGCAGAGGCGGCGGCGCAGCCGGAGCCGGGGAGCGAAGATGGCGCAAGCTCAGCGGGCACCGAGCGACGTGGCCCGGGGACGTGGCCAGGCAGCCCCGCGCCGGTGCACGCCGGGAAGCGGGGGGAGCGCCCGCCCCGCCCCGCGCCGCCCTCACGGCGGGGCCGCCCCGGCAGCAGCGGGCCGGGCCAGCGGAGGGGAGCGGCCGCGGGACACAGCCCTTGGGGCGGCCGAGAAGCTGATCTGTAAATATATACAATAGCGAATATAATATATATTATAGTATATGTATATTATGTTTTGGAGGCCAAGTGTGAAAATCCACATCAGCCACTAGAGAGAGTCCAGCGGAGGCCATAAAGGTGATGAGTGTCTCTCTTAGGAGGGACTGCGAGGGCTGGGCCTTGTTAGTCTGGAGAAAAGAAGACTGAGGGGAGATTTCCTCGATACATATAAATACCTCAAAGGTGGGTGCCCAGAGGGTCACAGAACCTGGAATCACAGAATGGTTTGGGTGAGGAGGGTTCTCAGGGATCATCTCGTTCTGTCCCCTGCCATGGGCACGGATGTCACTCACTGGAGCAGGGTACTCGGGACCCCATCCACCCTGGCCTGGAACACTTCGGGGATGGAGCAGCCACAGCTTCTCTGGGCAGCCTGTGCCAGGATGGTGCCAGATGCTTTTCTGTGGTGCCCAGTGACAGGACAAGGAACAATGGCCATTAACTGGAACACAAGAAGTTTCACCTCAATGCAAGGAAGAATTTTTTTACATTGAGGGCTGCAGAACACTGGGACAGGACTGGGCAGTCAGGGATTCTCCCTCCCTGGAGACATTCCAAACCCACCTGGACACGTTCCTGTGTCACTGCTCCAGGTGACCCTGCCTTGGCAGCAGGGTTGGACTGGGTGATCTCCAGATGTCCCTTCCAACACTAACAATTCCGTGATTCTGTGTAAACTTCCAAGAAAAAGGAAAAAAAAGCAAGTATTTCTTCAATAGTCATACCTTGAGAGGCAGCACACTGCCTCTACAGAGTCCTCAATCCCTAAAACAGGACATGACCAGCAAAGTTCAGTGGGCAGCTCAAAAGAGGCATCTCCTCTTAATAACTCTCCAATGTTCTCTGTAAAAAAAAAAAAAAAAAAAACAAACCCATCAATCCAAACAAGAGCAAAGAAAAATAGGAATATCTGCCCAGGAACAGGATTTCCAATGGTTGCAGAAAATGGGTAACAGCTTATTCCAGGTAAACAGTGGTGCTTTGCTGGGTTACTCATTTCTCTAAAATCTCTTGGTTTACATTGTTTCACAGCCTCTTTGAGGAAATAGCGTAAGGACTTTACTGTTACAGAATTATACACTGAAAAGTTCCCACAGCAGAAAGCTGTTTGAAATTTAAGAAAAGGATCCTAACTACAATCTTTTGATTTTTCTGTTTAAAATGTGGCACAAACATTGAAATCTTTAGAGAGTTTACGTAATCCAGAGAAGGGAGAACTGATTAGTACCTGCTATTGAGTTTACCTTTTTTAGGAAGTACCCACTGTGTGACAAAAACAAATTTACTTATTTTCAGAGATTAGGAATCAAAGCCTGTCCTCTTACAACACTGTGTTTACAAGTACAGCAGTACAACTCCTTGACAAGCTCCCTAGTATCTCTTACTACTTCCTAAGAGAAGAGGTTGGATGTAAGGGTGAATACTGAAATAAAAGTAGCTAATAAAACCACTGACAGATGCATATCTGGAGTCTATTTAACAGATACATTAAAGGCAGAGAGCTGACATCCATCCTCTCAACCCATGCTCAGTTCATGCAGTTCATATTCAGAACTTGTTTGTGATCTAAATTGTTTTCTGACTTCTGATTAAATGTTGAAACATGTCAGGCCCCAATTAAACATGACCTAGGGCAGTTTCAGCTTGTGCATCAAACCAATGTGATTTTAACTATAGCAATGGCTATTCTTTGATAAATCAATACAGTTCACTTCCATATACAATGGTTAAAAATTATCAAGAAAGCAGTACCAGAAAGTATCTGTTATATCTGTGAAGATTAGTGTTTTCCACTGTTTTCATATTTCTCCTACAGGAATTTACTTTTGTCTTCTCTCCTTTTCTCTTTGTCCCTCAAAGAGAAGTTTACAGATATTAAGTGAGATGTTAAATATTTGTAAGGCTAATTATACCATCTGAAACATTAGAAAATAAGTGTTATGCTGTTGCCAGCAAAGCAAGAAATCCATCAATCACAATTCCTCCAGTTAATATTTCAAGGTTCAGTCACTTGGACTCTGAGCTCTGAACATGCCTGGGTTCCTGCATCATCAGGGCAAGAAAATCCTCTCATTAATCCGGATTGGAGAAGCAGAATGATGCTGAACAGGAAGGGGCAGATGGACATTGGTTGTTTTCTACTCATTGCAGAAAAAATGTAATACATTTTGTGGCTATTTTTGGGTACAAATAAAGAACCAGATGTGAACTTTGATAAAAATAGCCTATGGTGCAAAACTGCTGCATGTCCTGATGCCAGGCAAGGTCTGGTGGGGTCTCTGAGGCAGCGTCATCATTTCTGTCTAAGGACTAGGTGGAAAGATATGGAAAGAGGGTTTGATAATGGATCACAGTATTAACTAAAATATGAAATTATGGATACCTGGATAGCACACAGGTCTGTTTTACTTTATGACAGGTTTGTTATTTATCTGCACTTTCCAACAGTATTGTGTATAACAATACATAAAATGCTCTTTCTGAGGACCAATTCTAAATGTTCTGGGGTACCAATAAAAGAAATTTACCTTACAGTGGAGTTTTGCTTATTCTTTTCAGACCTGTCTTTTCTATCCAGTTTCTCTCCTGCCTTACTAGAAAAGGAAGTCAGATCCCTCCCTTGCAACAGCACTGGAGTAAACAGTCCCTAAAGCTGCCCCACATCATATGGCACGGATGAGAATATTTTCCTAATCAGGACTATAAGGTTCTTAGCTCTCCTCATCACATGCCTACAGATCCTGTTTAAAAAAAAAAAACAACAAAAAAACAACCCAAAACACACACCAAAAAACCCCACAAACTTACCAAAACATGTAAACATTTTCACTGAAATAAAGAGACACCATTGCTTAAATTTGTGTACCAGCCTGGATATCAACATTTTTAGAGAAAAGAAAAAAAAAAAAAAAAAAAAAAGAGGAAGAGATTATTTGAAATTTGATTTTTACTTCTAAGGAGAACAGAGTATGACAGGGGAACAAAGTACTGCAGTTTGCTGGCTGTTCCTAGACTGCCCTGGGGAAACTGGCAGTGTCCCACTGGGCAGCAGTGTGGTGTCTATAAAAACAACACAGCAGGAGCCAGAACACAACGGTGCCCCATGGCCAGGTACCTGCTCCAGTGACACATTCCAGGGGACTGCTGAGTCCTTGCTGCTTTCTGGTGTCACTGGAGTGAGTCAGGGCTCTCCGTCAGCCCCGGTGTGTTTGGCTGGCACACCCTGAGCAATGTTTCACATCTTCTCCAAGGGGGAGCAGCCAGTGGGGCTCTGACAAGGTCCCAGCCCAACATGATGGGGCTGCAATTGGTGTTACTGGAAAGTAAAGGAGGGGGTGATGATCCCCAGGCACAGCAGTGAGGTGAGAAGCTAAACCTGCCACAATGCAGCATGTAATTGCCTCTGCAATATTTCAGCAGATTATACAGAGGCATAATGGGCTTCTTCAAATAAAGGAAGGAAGGAAGGATGCCTTTTTTTAAGCAGTATCTTTAGAGCCTCAGACTGAGGAGCTGGTGAGCTCTGATGTGACAGATTGAGATCACTGGGAGTCAAACATTCCATGCACTGTACAAAACCTGAAGACAGCCAGAATGCCAGCTTTAACAGGGACACTTCTCAGACACTGGATGGGCAGTTGTTTTCTTCCTTTTGGGGATTTACAGATACCACAGATGTGCCACTTACCTCAGTACCAGGTCACAGGGATATCTTCTCTCCAGCTGATCGAGAATCAGTGGCCCTTTTCTCATTTCTAAATACAATTCTGAACATAAAGGTATGAGGCACTGAAATAATAAACCAACAATAGTATTTCTTCCCATTTGTTAACTCTTGGAGGATGCTACATTTAATCACAGGAATGAAATTAAATGGCTCCTCTCACATTCTGCTGGACAGGGTCACCTGTCACAGGGCTCAAAGCACTCAGAGGAGCCAGGCCTACAGCAGAGCTGTGACTGTCAGCAGCTGGATGGTTGGATGTGCATCCCACAGGGTGTGTGGCACTGCCCAGCACCCATCAGAAGGGTCACAAGAGGAGAGGAGAGCTGCAGTTCTCACAATAAGCAGATACAATTATTATCATGGTCTATATTCAACAGCAGATTTATGCACAAATCTGATTTTTTTTCTCCTCAAAGATCTAAAAGAACTAAAAAGAATGTAGGAGAAATTAGGCTTGGTTTAACAAATGTTACCCACATCTACAAAGAGCAAAATTTCTTTAAGAAACAAATATTTGTACCTCATTTCTCTGTAGTATATTCTTCCCCAAAATCCTGTTCATGCAAAAAGAGAGGGACTGTGAGACATTTTTCCCATGAACACATTCCAGTGAAAGTGCTCACGTGCATGTTGTATGCAATACATCTGCAGAGGGGACAGATACCTGCACTGAGGGGTTCTGTGCTTTGTTCCATGGAAGTAAATTGCACACATTTCAGTTTCCCCTGGCAGTGTGCAGGATTGTGAATGGATGGCAGGTCACACACAGATTACATACCGTGCATACTTGTGCTCTCTATGCCTTTCTCCCCTTTCCATCTATTCTTCCCACAGAAATTCAGTTTCAACAGTTTTGATGGAAGTGTCTAATGAATCTCAGATTTTGTAGAATGGGCTTTTCCATCAGTGACCTTTACAAAAGGGACATTGGCAGGAGTAAAATTGCTTTTCTACAATACTTGCCATCCAAAATGCTCACACCATCTTATGAACCAAACAGGATTTGCAATCTCACAGTGAAATTAGTAGAACATTAAGTCAGGGCTCCACATTTACCCCTCCTACACTACTCTTGTAAGAAATAGATA